TTACAACTATCCTTTAAATAAAGAAGTGCATTGTCCAAATGTATTTGGATTTAGAAGCAAGACTGATTGTCAATGAATATAGATTTTTTTATCAAATTGCACGATCCTCATCTATGGAATTTCACATGTTAGTGTTTATAACCAGCGTTTATGATCTCAAGGTCAAGATGTTTACTCCTAAGACCATGTCTCAAGGCCATGCAGTGTAAATACACTAGTACATAACAAATCATTACTTGAGTATAATCGGATTCGGTAGATATTTTCAATGGCAGTCTTTTCGTTATTTTATTAGTGTGATATAAAATCATGTATGTGACAAGTACAATAAATTCTGCTTGACATGTGCTCAAGATAATGCTCTATAGTGCCGACCACGCAGATCGAGCATGGAGAGGGGGGCCCAGGGTCCAACAGGTTTGGGCCAGTAATTGCACCTATACAAATGGCAGATGAAGTGTAGACATTGCAGCATATTCTATGTAACTTGTCTTTTATTCTGGTTTTTAAAAGATATTTCTAAATAAGCTTATAATGTTTCCTTTCAATTTAATTCTCTCACTTGTTTGGTCACACCGTGCTCGTACTGTAGGTTTCTAGTTTTCGTATCCTATTTAAAATATTTGGATTAATTTATTAGGGGTTCCGAACAGTCGAGTCCCTCACGAGTCAGTGTACTTCGGTCCAAATTACTGTACAAGTCATTAAGTAGTAATTAAGAAAGTTGAAGCAACTAAATATAATTGGTTTGTCATTATTTAAATCTTTGTCTTGTGAATGGTTTCTTGGAAGGACTCTTGATAATTTTTTTTAAGAACTTGTGACGGACTTAACAACAAGACTGGGAATTCCTCCTTTGACGATGTCGCAGTCTGTGTTTAAGTATTTTCTCGGGATCTCGTCATCTTCCCTGCCGACTTTCTTTCTTTTGGTGTGTGTAGACAGACAGACACAGACAGACAGACAGACCGAAAAATCAGACCGAAATAGCGCCGCCAGTTGATTCTCAGGAAAAGATTGGCCTCTTTTTTTTTCAATGTAATTCAAGATTATGGCCAGCAGATCACTTATCGTTTTAGTTTTATGGGGTTAGCCCGAATGTCTTAATCAGCTTTTCCCAATGATACCCCCAATGTAGTATTAAAACTCTGCGCTAAGCTCTAAACATAGCTACTCTCCTCTATCCAAAATAGGCCTACAATTTTGGGTGGGGGGTTGTGAAAGAAATATCCCGAACTGTAAACTATCAGTCCAAATTCAGGATTTATAGAAATATTTCGATGACCCCTCCTTGTTCGCGAAGGCGACGGCGACGGACAATGTCGTCTTTGAAGTAGTCTGTAACTGCTTCGTGTCACTAATTCATTGGAAAATTTACATTTAAAGAAATACAGAAATTAACATGTCGATGGCGTGAGTACGTGGCATCCTTTTCTCATTGAAAATAACACGGTGTTAATTAGCAAAGCTTTGAAAAATTGGGAGACGATTTATACCAACCAACCTGAAATTTGATTTGAACTGCTATTCTTAAAAACATTCAAAAAAATCGTTCAGTTTATCGTGGAAAAGAGTAACGCAAAGTGGAAAACTTTCTGCCTCCCTTAACTCCATGGAGTTTTGTTATTGACGTAAACCCGAATTTCGGGCTGAATCATGGGCTACCTTCAGCCTGGCGAGGAAGGTCATGCATTAAGGTAAGCCCGTGATTCAGCCCGCGATTATCCGCGCGATTCGGATTCACTCCAATAAATTTAAAAAAACACGGACACCACCAAAGGTAGGCCTACAAATTGCATATTGGTTGACGTCACACATTCATGAGCTACAATGTACAGTTGTCGCGTCCTTTACGCGCCGTTTTACTAATTTAGGCCTACCTGAGTACCTCACACCACAATTTCCCTCAAAAACCAAAGTCCTGCTCTCTTTTCTTTCTCACAGGAAGGAGGTCATCACCACTAACTTTAGTATATGTCATGTATGTAGGTAACTTGTTTCAAAGTAGGGGCCTACCTGAGAACTGCATGTATTATAGTAGCTTCATGTGCTGAGAACAGATAGACCCGTAAACTGTGGGGTCCGACATCTGCTCCTAGAACTGTGGGTTCTGACATCCGCTCCTCTCCCGTGAACAGTCGTGGGAGAGGAGCGGACGCTCTTGGGAGAGGAGCGGACGTCGGACCCCACAATTCTGGGGGTACCCGACAAATACTGGTACATGTAAGTATGATGGATGTACATGTGCATGTACTCCTCCGTCACGGGATCAGGTCAACACGGTCCCAAGCCAACTCAGACCCGAAGCCAACTCGGACCCACGACCAACTCGGACCCACGACCAACTGGGACCCACAACCTGACAACCAACTTGGACCCATAACTAACTCGGACTCGCCCAAAGTCAACTCGGACCCACCGAGCCTTATACTATTTTGGCAACTTTGTGATAATAAATGAAATGCGCAAAGCCTGACAGCCCCAGGAGCGAGGCTTTCGGCATGGATCCCAAGATATTCTTGCGGGTTTGCAAACCAAGACAATTTCTGCGCATTTCACCCTGACTTCAGTTCTTTTAAACTGTACACTAGATAATTATTTGGGACCTACACATACATGAGTAGTAGGGAGGGGTGAGTTAAAGATCAGCAGGGATTTTCACTCACCCACCCGCGCAGCAGGGACTTCCCCCAAACCCCTGTGACCCGGCTTCCCAAACCAGCTCTCGTGGAGCTCCGATCGCACAAAAGCGGGACTTCTCCGCGAGACTTTCCCCTGCTGGAAAAATAGCTCAACTCTGGGCACGCCAGGAAAAATTGAGATTAAATTAAAAAAAACAATATATAAAAGGTACGAAGACTCTGCCAAAATAACAGTGTCGCCTGGTATTATCAGACTTTAGGCAATTGAAAAAAATCGTTTCTGGCAGATTTTGCTAAATGATATGACATTCCATTATCGTCACCAATGTGCAAACAACACACAAAGTCGGAGCTCGTAAAGGTGATTCAAGCTAGCCAATGGCAATTTAGAATTCTCACTTGCCAGTCATATCGCGATTAAGGCATACATTAAGCCGCAAGCTATTGAAGAAGTTGACATTTGCAGAATTAGGCGATTCAGAGACAATTATAGAAATTGGGAACTGATACCTAATTTCTATGCAGACGATCTTATTCACTTTTTTGATTTTGATTTTGTTTTTTACAGAAAGTGTATCGAAGACGAGGCACTTGCCGAGTTTAAGGAAATCGGCTCTTGCAAATTAAGATTCAGTTCAAGATGGAAAAACTGGGAGCTGAAATTAAATTCGGTATTTTCACATTTACCAGTAAAAATAACGTGATCTTTTCTAAAAAGGAAATTAAAGAAGCGTTGAATCAGCAAATCGTGCAACATCTAGAAGACGTGGAAGCTCACGAGCAAAGAGGCTCGGGCTGGGTGTTTGATGAAGTGCACGCGTTTTATATCAACGTGGTGAAATTTAATCTGGTCGGCGCGACTTATATTCCACTACTGAAATATTTGAAAGATAAGAAAGCAATTCTCAACGTTCAAAATAAAGAAGATAAAGAGTGCATCCGTTGGGCATTGAGATCTGCTTTAAAATTATATTCAGACAATGTCAAGCACCAGTTAGAAACAAATCCAAAATACAAAATAAATAACGAGCGCACCTCGACTTACACTAAAGAAGACGGCTTAAATTTCAAAAATGTAAATTTTCTGATGCCAATTTTACAAATCCCGCATATTGAATCACAAAAATAATTTAGTCATTAATGTATTTGGCTATACCGAGAAAGAAGGCACTTACGTGCAAGACTAAACGCGAAAAAGAGCCCATTACTTTAGTTTATTTTACCAAAGGCGAAATAAGTCATTATTGCTGGATTAAACACTTTTCACGAGTTATGGGAGACGTTAATAAGCATAACGGTAAATCTTTTTGGAGTTTCAAATGCCTGTCACATTTTCAAACCGAAGAAAGACTCGCCAGACATCAAGAAGTCTACCAAGGAATTGACACAGCAGCATGCAAGGTCGAAATGCCCATCAAAGGCAAAAATATTCTAAAGTTTGAAAATTATAAAAATAAGCAAGATGCCCCTTTTATAATTTATGCGGAAAACCATAAGCCTTGTGGCTATTCTTACGCGGTCGTCAGGTGTGACGGCACGTGCACTGATTGCGAGACTTACAGAGGTCAAGACGCAGCAATTAAATTTGTGCAATCGCTTTCCAGAGAAGTCGGCAAAATTAACGAAACATTTGAAAATCCAAAGCCACTAAAATGGTCGCGCGAGTTACAAAAAATCTACGAAAATTGCAATTGGTGTTGGATCTGCGAAAAGCTTATCAGCAAAACTAAAATGCCAGTGCCCGATTCCAAACGAGCCAAAAACAAAGGACGAAAACCTGCCTTTAATTCAGTCAATGAATCCAATGGTTTCAGAGAATTGCTCTGTATGACTTGCGTAAAGCCAATCAACAAATTTCGCTAGGTCAGAGATCACTGTCACATCACAGGCAAATACCAAGGCCCCGGCACGCCAGTTGTAATTCAAAGTTAAGAGTCTAACCCTATCAAACGCCCATTCCAGTGATTTTACACAACTTGGAAAAATAGGACGTGCTTCTAATTATGCAAGGCACACAAGCGTTTAACGGCGGTAAAATTAAAGTCATTGCTAAAAATACTGAAAATTATATATCGTTCAGCTTTGATCAAGTCAGGTTTCTAGACTTATTTCATTTCATGGCTGCGGCACTCAATCAACTGGTTAAAAATTGATCTCGAGAAGATTTTAACTTACTTTGGAAAAGCTTTCCAGAAAACACGGATTTATTATTTGAAAAAGGCATTTACCCTGACGAATGTATCGAGTCGTTTAATAAATTTGAAGAATTACAACTACCGTCACAAGCCGCTTTTACAGCTCGTTGAGGCAGGCGTCTATTACCGATGAAGAATATGATCGGGCTAAAAATGTGTGGAAAATGTTTAACTGACGTAATCTCTGAGACTACCACGATCTATACGTCAAGATGGACGTACTGTTACTAGTGGGCGTATTTGAGAACTTCCGTAAAGTGTGTAAAATAAATTACGGCCTCAACCTGGCGAATTATTATACATCACAGGAATTATCTTGGGATGCATTACTAAAACACTCCAGCATTGAGTTGGAACTGTTGACAAATATCGACAAGCATCTGTTCTTTGAACGAGCCAAACGCGGCGGTATTTTGAGCGTGGGTGCAAAGCGTTACGCCAAAGCTAATAATCCCGAATTAAAAGATTACGACCCAAATAAACTGCCATCGCATATCATGTATTTAGACGCGAATAATTGATATGGTTGGGCCACGAGTCAGCCTTTACCCTTTAAACATTTCAGGTGGATTCAAGACGTGACCAAATTTACTCCAGAGTTCATCTCGAAAATTTATCCAAGAGCATCCAAAGGTTATATACTTGAGGTGATGTTAGATTATCCCTGACACACGATTAACACAACGACTTCCCACTGGCACCAGAAAATATATCTATTCCAAATGAATGGCTATCAGAATATCAAAAAAATTTAATATCCCACGGTGAGTGAATTACCTTGATAGATAAACTCGTGTCGACTTTAAACACTAAAAATAAATACGTTGTTCATTATCGCACTTTACAGAAATATTTAGAACTCGGTCTAGAATTAAAACAGGTGCATTGTGTCATGTCTTTTAACCAGGAGCCTTGGATGAAAAGTTACATCGATAAAAATACCGAGCTACGCAAATTAGCTAAGTCCGATTTTGAGAAAGACTTCTTCAAATTGATGAATAACTCGGTTTTTGGTAAGACTATGGAAAACGCGTGTTATCGGATAAACGGCCATTTATTGAGAAACTTGACATCGAAGCTAACTTTTAAACCAAATTACAAAATCACTACGCAGTTTAAGGAATGTGATCTCTCGTTTGTCAAGATGTATCGCATAAAAAAGCAGTTGAATAAACCCATTTACTGCGGCGTGAGCGTGCTTGACTTATCCAAAACTTTAATGTATGATTTCTATTACAATACGTTAAAATCTGATTTTAGTTCAAATGTCTGCCTATTATACACTGAAACGGATTCTTTATTTGTCCAAATTCAAACCGACAATTTAAACAAGTACTTACGCAAAAAGAGTAAATTATTTGACTTTAGTAATTATATACATCCTGTATAATTATATACATCCTTTGCGATTGTCATTGGCAAAATGACAGATGAATTTGGCGGCCAAACAATTTCAGAGGTCATTTGCATACGTCCGAAAATATACTCAATTTAAACGGACCGGCAAAATTTGAAAAAGGCTAAAGGCATGACGAGAGTCGTAACTGAAAAACGGTCGTCGCACGAGGCGTATAAAAGTTGCCTATTTGAACGGATGCAACATTTTAATAAGCAGCAATTATTTAGATCAGATAAACGTTTCATATTCACCGTGTTGCAAAATAAATTAAGCCTCTCGCCGTTAGATACGAATTATTATTAAACAGCATTAAAACTTTAGCTCACGGGCATTATTTAGCTGGTGGTAATTCTGTATCATCAGGTACAACTTGAAACTCTTCTTTGACAAAATTCCTATCTGGCCCATTTAATAAATAATAGAAAGTGGGCTCCGTTTTCACACGCCTGCCCGCGCTCGTGTAAATTGGCTCATGCGTTTGTCAATTTGATAAATGTCCACAGACCAAACAGGATCTTTAGCCCTTCTGACGGTGCCGCTCTCT